TGAGGCCTACTTGAGGCCCTCCGCCTCCGGTTGTGAGCCTGCAAAACAATAAACACACGATTCTCACACACAAGAACCTGATATATGCCTGTGTTTGCTGTGGTAATCGGCGTACGTCTATAGCCGCAGTTCAAGCAACTAGCTGACCAGCCCTGGTCAGTGCAGAGTATCGTCGTCTCACCGTCTGTCCCTGAGTCATCACTGCGGCCATTCCCGCTCTGCCTTCGTAGCTGGTCCTCATCGAGGCTCCTGCGGCGAATTTGCAGGGGCCTGCTGGCGCTGTGGTAGCCGTAGCTGCCAGCAGCGAGGGAAGATATCTTCTTTAGCATAGCTGCATGCAAAAGACCGGAAACAGTTGAGATGTTGGCTGCGCAGTCCTTGGATCGCCAAAGCCATGCTCCTCCTCAGAAGTCGCGCCGTCAGCAACGGAGTTTTCTTTAGATGTGTGTTCGTCTACAGGTCTCAGAGCAGCAGCTTCTGCAGCCCCGAAGGCATGTCGCGCGTCCCCTCAAAGTGACATCCTTGTCCATCTGCATGCGGCAGAAACGCCTACTCTCCTCCTCCTCGATGGACTTTTTACGGGCTTTGTGAAACCAAGGACGAAATCGGCTGAGCCGCGTCGAGCGACGGCAGAAGTGAGNGACTTTTTACGGGCTTTGTGAAACCAAGGACGAAATCGGCTGAGCCGCGTCGAGCGACGGCAGAAGTGAGTGGCTGAAATATGAATGTGACGGCAACAACGCCTCAAGTCAAGTCTGTTCACCCAATTGTAGTATTTCTCTCGAAATGAACTTTCAATTGATTAAAAGGGGAACACGGCGATGGAAGCAACTGCTGTGTTTCGCAAATTCGCCTGATTCGTGCCGGTCGATAGGCTCGACCTAGCGAGGCGCCAGTCAGCGGCGGCAAAGCCGTGCAGACATGAGTCAAGAGAGGCCCAAGTAATTATATATTTTGTCTAAAAATCCTCAAAAAGGACGAAAGAATCAAAGACAAAACGAGGAAACCGCAGATACTCCGCCGCCGATTCCTAACTGGCCTCCGAGCAGTCAAGCCGCTGCTGCGTTCTCTCGAAACGCAGCATCAGCCTATGCTCTCCACAACAGCTTCAAATTCGTGAGTTAATGCATATATCTCAATTCAGTATTCATTATAAGATGCTTTCGAGCCCACCTACGCCTTCGCAGAAGGACACACTCATCACTCGGCTGCAAGGCACACGGGATGTGTATACTGGGGACGACNTACGCCTTCGCAGAAGGACACACTCATCACTCGGCTGCAAGGCACACGGGATGTGTATACTGGGGACGACGTACAAACATGTAACGAACACTTCGCTCCGTTCAATTTTCCCCCACCATTTTGTTCGCATATCTGCATCTGTTTAAGCTCCTTACAGTTTTTAAGCAGGTTTTTAGGTCAGATTTGTGACAAAGTCGGTGGGGCATGCCTCCGGGTACCGCATCTCCAGTTGCTGTTGTCAGGGAAACCAAATATGATTCCATGCAGGACGAAACGCTCATATAACTGTCGCAAGCTAGCGAAATGGTGTTGCAGTGCCCTTGTATGTAGGTGCTTGTGCAGACTCGCATGATGAGACCACACAGCCTGCTGCGCTGGCCCGTAGCGACGCGGTGGAACAACTACGGCGAGCAGTCTAGCCGTTGCAACTACTTCAGAACAGTTATCCCTTTATCACTCAGCGGCTTCAAATGCATAGGGGTGCTTTCCCTGACGGTATCCCCCCAGCTAAACGTCCCCAGGAGACTCCCCCCTCCTACAGGCTGCACTTAGTCTAAGGTTAGTGTTTAGGGTCTAGGGTAATCTAATCTAATCTGCATGTTCCAGTCGTGCAAAACAGCCCTACATCTGGCGCAACGGCCACAAATTCTCGTTTCTCTTGAGGATAAAAGTCAAGAGTGCGGAAAATTCATATTTATGGACCACCCTTTGAGGGGTAGATGGATGTCTATAACCAAAACACCAAAAGCTGAAGATAGCGCGGTTCCTGCATAAATCTGAGTAAATGCAAACATGAATGTTTCATTCAAAGGCGTCTCCAGCGTACTTCAAAGGATGTCACCCCTTTTACAGAGCGCCTGTATCCCGGGGTAACTCTTCCTGGGTGGTTTTACGGTTTACGGTTTAGGGTTTAATGCTTTCTGCACCCCAAGACCTCAGTGCTGCTCTGTTTGCAACTCTGAGGCATTTCATGTGCGGTCAGTGTCTTCCCTGCAACTGGTTGGAGTGGTTCCCTCCCACCGCTGTTTTTTTTTGGCATGCGTACACTGTTTTCCTCCCAGTAGATCATTATTCTTCTGAGAGGAAAGGGGGGGCTGCTGCATCAGCGGGTTCTGGGGTGAATGNTGCTGCTGCTGCTGCTGAGCAAGGCAACAACAGGTGCATCAGCGGGAGCAACAGCAGCAGCGGCTGCGTTGGCGTCGCGGTTATTGCTGCTGTTGCTGCGCAGGCCTGTGCTGTTCGTGTGTAGAAGTTTGTGTGTATGTTCTTCAATAGCGTCGGTGCTGTATTTTCTGTGTTTTCAGTCCGTTCTTTGGGTTTAAGTGTATTTAAGCTAACGAAGCGAATAGCCCGTGCTGTCTCTGTAGTGTCGGCGTGATAGGTAACCCCTGAGGAAGACTGGGGGCGGGTAGGGGGTGGGCGAGATGACTCCTCTTCTGTCTTTTGGCCTCCACTTGTTATCATATCGCCTCACCGGCCCATCGCACACGAGCTGAAATGAGAATTGAGGGTCCTCCATAAGCTGCAGCGCCTTTGCAGGATCATAGCCAGCGTAATGCAGCAGTTTGAATGCAAACTCCGGGCTAAACGGCTGCCATCCAGGTTTATTGCCTTTCCAGTTTTTTGCACACTGCTGCATGAACGCCTCCATATCCCCCTCTGTGCAGATCGCGCGGTCTGCCAGCCCCTCCGCCAGCCGCCTCTGTCGCACCCGCTCCAAAGAAGAAGGAGAATACACCAACTTTGCTGTTAGACTCGGATCTAAGGCAGGAGAAGCCTCACCGCAGCAGCAACCAAAACCAGAATTCTCAAGGAAGAAAGGAGGCAGGCAAGGCACCTGATGGCGAGGCCCTACAGGCACCACGTGACGACGAACAGAACCTTCATCGATGCACTTACGAGGAGCTGCTGCTCCTCCTGCTGCAGAGGGGAATGCTGCGCCTGGTGCTGCTGCTCCTGCTGTTGCTGCAGCGCTTGATGAGCTGGCCAAACCAGAAGCACCCCGCACACGACTAGAAGCTGCGCTCGACCCACTGCTGCTGCTGCTGCTGCTGCTGCTGCGCGCTGCTGCTGCTGTTTTTGCTGACGTCTCATCGGCCCCTTCTGTTTGTGTGTGACGGCGTTGTGGAGTGGCTCCTGCGTCTTCGAGGGCGGTCGTCGCTACAGGTGCTGCTTCCTCCTTTTGAGGGTTGGGCTCAATCGCCTCCTCCCCCTGCAGTTCATGCTGCATGCTGTCGCTCCGCATCTTGCTGCTGCATGCATCGCATATCTGCCTCTGCGTCTCATCATCGGCGATAACGCCGTTTGTTTGCTCCTTTCCACATGCTGCGCATTCAAAAACAGAGCCTTCCTTTTTAACAGATCCGTTCGTATCCTGCTGCTGCTGCTGCAGCTGTTGCTCCTCGTTTCCTGAAGCGCATTGGTCCTCGAACGCATGCACTCCGTCAGCGTTTGTCTCGGATAGGTTTTGTTTCTCGCCACTGCTGCTACCCCATGTGGGGGTTGCCTGGGGTTCTTCATCTGAAGCGTCGAGCTGGGGGCAGGGCTCCGTGGATTCCAGTTCTGTAGCCCCAGAGGGTACAGAGGTGATTGCTGTTTCTGCTGTTGTGGAGACGCCAACAGCTTTTTCAGCTGCCGCGTCTGCTGCTGCGTCCGCTGCTGCTGCAGCTGCCGCAGCGACGGCAGGTTCGCTGGGGGGGGAAGAGAGAATGCCCATCGTGGTGATGCGCAGTGACCTCACGACCACAGGGGCGGCCTCTGGCTATCTTCTCCTCCGTTGTCTCTCACTACCGCCAGCGTTAGTTTGTTGCTGCCTCCAGAACAGCTGCTTCTGAGCCTACTGCTGCTGCTGCTGCTGCTGTTGATGAGCCTCTGCACCCGTGCCGTCTCCTTCTGTCTGTGCCTATGGCTGGTCGCCAGTTTCTGCCGCGGTTGAGGATGAAGCCTTCGGACCTGCCAGGTATTGCATACGACGTGCATGTAAACAGAATGAAGCGGCAGAAATTCGCTCGACGAATTGTGGCTGAGAAAACCCTAAATACGAAACCCAACCCTCCTTGAGGCGGTGCTGCTGCAAGTGGCCGACGGCGGCTGCGGCGGCTTCAGTTTGCTCTGAGGCGTTTGCGAAGGCGATGATTGATTGCTTCGTACTTTGTTTCAATCAGTTTGCCCTGCAACTGAATTTAAGATGAGTAGGTCCTGTACACGACTGAGGCGGTGGAGCGACTCGACGTTGGGCGTGGTCTGAGGAGGCAGGCAGCGGGGAGAATGGCCACAGGCTGCAGTTTAAAAGAAGAGAAAGAGTTTAAGAAGTTTCCTTGCGTCTTTGCATGCAACGAATGAATTCAAGAAGAGCAGCAAGAGCAGCGCGAGACAGAGTGCTGCGCCACGCCGTAGATGGTACCCCGTCAGGCCAAGGCGCAAGCAAGGAGGGTGGAGGGTCGTGGATGCTTCTAGAGGCCTCTTCTGGTATACTGGAGCTGAGACAAAGTCTGAAAGTTCGTTTATATTCACTTTGGTAAGAATTTGTTCATGAGAAACACCTGAGATTAGCAGAGGCTACACACACACGGACGCCCTGGGCGTCAACCCCCCCGGCAATATCTGGATCAGGAACGGCAGTTGGGTGGGCCGCTGAGGAGGAGCTCGAGAAACAAAGTTCTGAAGCAGTTAAACACGATAAATAAGAGGGTTGCAACGGGTCTGTTGAGGACCAGAAAGGCATACGCCAATGCTGTGCTCCTGCTGCTGTAGCCCACGACTGTTTCTGTGGCGCAGCAGCGAGTGAGTAGGGAGGGAGTGGTTAAGGGCACACTGAAGCAGCGGCGTGACCCTGCAGTTTAAGTCTTTCAGACCTTTTTCTGTTCAAACGAAGTTCTGTAGGACAAAGAAGGCAGGCGAATGAGCAGAGGCTTCGGTGCCTTGGGGCTATGATGGCTGCAGCGGCCACAGACAACGGTGTTGCTGCTTGCTGCCCGTTCAAACCGTTCCCGCGTGGCGCCGGCAGGTTTGCGCATTTAGTGCGTAGAAAGCAAACTTAAAGTCAATCCAAAAACACCTACTGCGTCTTTTCAAAGATTCGTGCATATTATCGCCGCTTTACCCGCTGACTTCTCTGCAGCAGGGGAAGGCTGGTTGCGCCCCACTGTCGTGGCCGGCCGGTTCAGCGGCAGAAATTGAATATTCAGATAAATTCAAGCAAACAAACTCGCGGTCACCCTTCTCACTTTTCTCTCAAGTCTTCGCAGTGTCTTCACAAACAGGGAATATGCAGAGGCAGCCTCCCCTCGTTCTCCTAGCTGTAGCTGCTGCACCTGACACGATCGGCGCCAGCTGAAACCCCTGCTGTAGCTGCCACCTCTTTCTCTGTCCCTACACAGCCATAAAACGCAGATGTGCTGCACTCTAACGACAAATAAAAAGCCATGGAGTTTATTTAGACGAGACTACAGTTTCTTGAACGCACCCAATACAGCCATGTGTGTCTGCGATCGCCAGCCCAGGCGAGACATTAAGAACGAAGTAACGGCATTCTTCAATGTTTTTCATATTACTAAAACAAATGTCCCGTAAACCAAGCCAGCTGGAGATGTCTGAGGATTCATGCTCCTACTATTATCAAAACGAATGCACGGACTAGCAGGAAACTGCTAGGGGACCCTCACGAAATCCAACAGCAGAGGCCACCTTATGGCACTCCACTGCCGTTGCCACTAACTGCAGGTGGAAAGTAGAAAACATGGAGGCATTCTGCTTACATATATATAATATATATATATATATACATCTGTTCGCGTAGGTACTAGCTGCACACTATATGTATATATCTACTATATATCTACTTATATATATATATATATATATATATATATATATATATATATATATATATATATATATATATATATATGTAAAGGCAGCGCTTCGAGGGATGCTGAGGATCCGTGCAACAGCGTATGCGGCATCTGCTCCGCACCCCATAGATCGGTTCCTGTAGATGCGGTACGTCAGTGAGCTATTGTTGCCAGCGTCCCAGTGAAAGATAGAGGAACCCTCTAAATGAAATATGAAGGCTGCAAATAACTAGGTCTACTGCTACTTCTTTAACGCGAACGTTTCGTCCCCTGGGCACGGTGTTCGATGCGCCAGTGATACAGCAGTGTAACTTAAGCCTCAGGCAGCCCTAAGAGAAGACAGTGCAGAGCATGAATGTAGTAACCTTGGTTTGCGCGAAATAGGACAAATCGGATTTGTGCTAAAAAGTTGCTGACTGTTTCCTTGCAAAGAAGGTTCTCTTGCTGCATCACTATCTATGCACATATGTATGCATACATATATACACATACATATAAACATATAAAACAACATATACTTGAGTCGGAATGGGCCGGAAAATAACCCTGATCATAGTCAACAGGACTACGATCGGGCTACAGAATCCAACGTCCACAAGCCGTCGTTCAGATACGTCAGAGTCTCGATGCAGGGCCCCTTGTTCTCACGCCGTCTGCAAAAGGACGAGCAAAACAGAGAACATACCGAAAGAAAAAAAGCATATCCCTCAATAAGACAATACCGAAATGCTAGCTCATGTGTGCACCCCAACTTGAGCTCCGTAGGAAGCAAAAAATCAGAGAAATGTGAACTACAAACGACTGACTAATAAGGCGGCACACTACACTATCCGCATAAGAAAAAAAACTGCAACTAGTCAAGAGGCTTTTAAAATTTCAGCATTTCTACTGAAATTTTAAAATGATATTCAAAATTCATAAAAAGAAAACTCACATTTCCTCGGTTGACATAGTGGTGATGCCGATGGCGCAACTATGTTGTTTCCCCTCCACAGCGATTTGCTGTTAATTTGCAAACAAAAAAATACAAGCACACAGNCGCAACTATGTTGTTTCCCCTCCACAGCGATTTGCTGTTAATTTGCAAACAAAAAAATACAAGCACACAGGAAACACCAAACATGAAAACATCCTACTAGTAAGTTGAAATGGTATACAAGACGTATTCAAGACCATCTGTTTCCTTATGAACATAGTTGGGCTAGCAACCAGCAAGACGCAAACACAAATACAATGGATGCGCGTTGTTTGTGACATCAATGAGCGAATGCCGTTGCAATCAACAAACGCATTTCCCCAAACGACAACAAATAATACAGCAATAGTATGGTGAAATATATTGCTATGTAATAAGGATAATGAAACTAACATTATAATTAATAAACAATCGGAAACACACGTCTAGCGGCGCGAAACGGTGCTGTTCAGCTAAAGCAAACGATGAAGTTCAACAGCCCTCACCACAACAGTGTTGGCCGGCACATCCTCCATTCTGCCCCCAGGAGACGTCAAGCCTTGACACATCACATTTGACCCTCTCAAGACGAACTTCACAGCGCCTTTGTCTACTTGCATCTTCGGCATCATAGAAGGATCTGCATAAAAGCACACAATATCGCTAAACGAACGAAATGGCAAATAAAGAATGCAAATTTCAACAATAATAGAAACACATTTACGAAGCAACGATGATATTATTATCATTAGGATCAACATTATCCTTTTTACTGTTATAATGATATCTAGAGCACTGGAGACGCTAAACTTCCCCCACTTACATTCATGCAACAGTCGTAGTGTTGGCACCCACTGCCGATCTCTCTGTTGAAAGAAGAGGGGCTTGCCGTCCAGCGCTACCATTGAAATGCGATTTTGGCTGAAATGCAACGAAGACAACACACATCTGATGCTGACTTTATATCTGTGTATATCTGACACATCCCCGAGCATACAAGCCCCGGTGTGCACGGCTCTATTCGGCGAAAAAAAAGAACAACGCGCTGAAGACGCGGACGACTTGTGTGTATTACCACTTCAATAGTACAGGAGTAGCCTTCTTANGAACAACGCGCTGAAGACGCGGACGACTTGTGTGTATTACCACTTCAATAGTACAGGAGTAGCCTTCTTAGGCCATATCTGTTCCATGACGGGTTCAAGACGAGGGTATACCTCCAATATCTGCGCGCACGCTAAGCCAGCACAGCATCTGCAAGATATGAACACCGCACGTTCTCATCTCACATATGAACGCGCTTTCTCTGTGCGCGTCTTGCAGTGTAAATATTCTCTGCTGACTGCTGACCCTCGTACTCCCTCCATGAATGCTGAACACAGCGTTAAATGTGTATGCAGCAATACACGAATAAATGATTTATGTTTTGGGGTTTTGGGGCTTGGATGTGGGGATTTGGGTTCTAGGGTGTTATGGTTTAGGGTTTGTGCTTTCGTTGTGTCGCGCGGTTAAGACAGACAGAGAAACAACAGGAAATATCTAAGTTCACCTGTGCCCGCACAGCTCTCTGCATCGACGACTTCATCATCGTCTGACAGGAAATTTCCTCTTGGCCGAACTTTTTCATCATTTTCGCGGCGTTTTGGGAATCCTAGGTTCTGACTCGACACGGATAGGTTGCTTGTGAATGCTTGCACGACCGCGGGTCACCTCCGGGTGTATACGGAAATATGCTCCGCCTCTGCGCCTCTGAGCTATTGGGCACAACAAAATGCTGAACCCTAAACCCTAAACCCTCTGAATTGATTTGTCTTTCCGGAAAGGCGTATACACGGGATGAGCATTGCGACGCAGCCTTTCCCACCGGCCCTCCACCATAGCAGAGGTATTTAATTTCCCCTGACTAAACAGGAAACAATATTCTGAAGCAAAGTTGAAGCGGGGTGAACATCAGTCAGGGGTCAAAGAAACCTGTGGCTGCAGCTGCGAAGAGCTACTGCTGCCCCAGGGAGGCGGCGGACTTGAACGATGTATTGAGACTTTCTTATTCAGTCATCAACAACTGCTGATCATTTCAATAGGTTGAATGAAATGCTCTCTGATATGTTACAGCTGCCTCGCGGCCCCACAGCTGAGCGACTGCAGAGTATAGCAGCACAGAGCCTCCACCGGTGAAATTAAACACAGGAAAGCCTCAAAAAAATTAGTATAAATCCCTAATTTGTCTTAATGCATTTACGACGCCATTTTTCACCTCTCACTGCCACGACTCAGCATATGACAGCGGGGGCTGCAGTGTAATGCCTTGGCTTTCAACAGGGCTTATGAAGGAGTGGGTAAAACTCCTCCTTGTAAAGATGAACTAAAACTTGTTTTTAATTAATAAGTAAAATGTATGAAATTGATATTCATAGGATGTATGTGTAGGCATTTAGGACTCGTACACATCAGTCAACGTCTGTAGGATGCATGTACGCCTGGTACGGCTAAAGGCCTAAGAGATAGGAAACAGAGATCCATGGCGTGGTGGGTCGCATGTAAGCTAATACATACGCTCTATAAGTGTATTCAGAGGTAAAGCATGCAGTAAAGGAAGCTTCGTTGNCATGTAAGCTAATACATACGCTCTATAAGTGTATTCAGAGGTAAAGCATGCAGTAAAGGAAGCTTCGTTGAGGCTGTCTTTTGTGCACGCGTGAGACTGCCTTGTATTACCATCCAGAGCGAGGTGCGTTGCAACGCCATTTCAAGCTGACTCCTCCCCTCAACACCCAGGCCTGAGCTCAACGCCAAGGACGCCTGAGGGCAGGGGAAGGAGATCAGCTGTTTTTGCGAAACTCTTTCCCTAAGGCTTTACCTACACTGCAGCTCGCTCCTGTCCTTGATTGACGCCAGAGAGCAACCATCGTAGCCGCAGCCAGTCGGCTGCGGCATCACCCAGGGAGACCTCCAGGTTACATAAGAGTGTGTGAGTGACTGTGTGAGTAACCCTAACGGCGATCTAATGCGTGACATAAGCATGCTCCTATTTGAGAAGTGCGAATTATCATCCAAGAGGTGAAACGAAAGTACCAGCTGGTGTACTAAAGCCTCCCTATTGTAGTGCGCCCCCACTACATGCAGCGAGCTGGGCGCTGGAATGTCTTGTAAACACAGCATATTAATCAGCACTCACTGACAAACGGTGTTGACAGTTTTTAAATCGAATAGTGTACATTACATTTTTCGCACTAATTTTAATTGTAAACGTTCAGAAGACCTTGATGAAGGAGAGGTACAACTTTCAAGTGCTTTCTAAAACACAAACGACGGGGTGTTGAATGGGTGTTGCCAAGATAATTCGCGAAGCTGTTCTCACGAGGTGCAACACAGTGAGCAAGTTGAAGAGGATCCCGAGGCCTTATCACTGTAACGGGGGCCCTCACTATTAGACGGGGACAATAATGAACTGCCTGAGAGTCAAAGTGCTCAGCACAAATGCCGCCAAAGAGGGCGCCTGGAGGGAGAAGGGAAAATACCCACAAGAAAGAAGAAATACTGTATCATGGTCTGCTTGATTCCGATACGTGCAGCTGTACTTGCATGCAGGCTGCCTTCTGAGGGGACGGGTACGCGTTTAACGAATGTATGCAGAGCTACTGCCTGCATCAAAACGTGGCTTGGAGACACTTGCATGCTTGGGTACCTTCAGACGGCAGTTGGTGCAAAGTGTGTTGCAACACACACTCGATCTCCTGTGCCTAGGTTGCCTGAAGAGCGGAGGAATAAGAATTGTAAATATTTCTCTGAGTCGGGGTCAGCACATAATTCTCCTATTATAAGGCCGGTGACAATCTCTGCGCTTGGTAGCACCCCGGGGTTGGTCGCGGCAGATGCATGCAGCAAACACCGCTACGACGGGCAACGTGGTAAACAGCAGTAGTTAGTACTGAAAGCTCGTGGCAACATAATTCACCAAATATTCTCCTTAGAATCACTCAAAAATTTTGGTTATCTTCTCCTCAAGAAAGCTGAGTGAGATCACTATGCCAACAGGAAATGAGACACTACGCTTTCCAGCGCCCCCAAGAGCATTCATTCCATCTACCGTTAAATCTAGGGTTGAAATGAGAAGGAGGCAGCGAGCAGTTTTCACTGCAGTGCAGAGATGCTGCTGGAGCTGACGGAGAAACGTATGCATTCCATCGTGACTGCTGTTACTCGGACGTTATCGCGATCAAGCCTCGCAAAGCTGAAGTCTTCGTAGGGCAAAAACGGGCACTATTCAACAATAGAATATCATGTTGTTTAAAGAACAAGAACCTAGCACCCAGTCAGCCACTCGTTGGATGCCCAATCTATCGCATCGCTCTCATGTGTGGAGCGACCCGTAGCCGTCTCTCGAGATAAGTGTGACCCCCGCACCTTGAAGAACAACGCTACCAGAAAACGGATGATCTGCTAAAGAAAAGCAAAGTTCAACCACCATACAATGCGGTTAGGCACAATCCGGTGTGTGGCGAAGAAGAAAGGCGAGAGTGAACTCATGCGCATCGAGATCAAGACCCGAGAAGAATTTCTCGGTTCCAACCGACCACCATACCTCATATACCAGAAGCAGCCTTGGCTAGGCGTTGATAGTGAACATGCTGCTTGCTGGCCTTTCCGGCTCACGCAGGAGCACTTCACATCTGGCTTTGTTGCTGCTCTCCATTGGCTCCCCATGGCATGTTTTTGTCTAGATTGGGATGCACGCACCAAGAGCCGGGGCCCAACGAAGGTTCAAGCCACCCACTGCATCATTGTCAACGCAATTGAGAGGGCTTCCCGAAGGAACACTCAATCAGCAGTAGCAGCAAACTTATGTAGCATTGGCTCATGCCACGAGCCTGCTGTTGTAACACATCGTACACTCCTTCCGCTGCCTCGGTGCAGCAGTCATCGATTAAGAACCAAGTCACACGACGTCATGAGCTACATGCAGAGAGAAATATGGCTGTATGTATCATGCTGTATGTTACAGCACGTATTCTGTCTTGCGCGCGGGGTCGCTGGGCCAAGCAAATTGCAGTTGTCCAGCAGTTATTTGGTGCACGGGGGAGAGGGCTTACATATGTTCGCATGTGAACTTACCTTAGAGAACAAGTTGCAGCAAGGAGTGATACAACTCCTGGAAGGCCACCTACTAACGGCACTGAGACCTGGCCTTTATACCTTTGTGCCCACTGAGGGAGGATACAGTACACGGGGGTCAGCCGCTTTCGGGAGACGGTTCTATTCTGATTATATTGCAGAACGCAGCAGTCGTGCGCTAGCGAATATGCATCCTATTCTTCCTCATCCTCCTCCACTGTATATACTGTGCTGCTTCCCAGGTGTAACGCTTGTTTAGGGTTTAGCGTTTAGGGTTTAGTTGAAACATAAGCCCAAATGTTGAAACATCTGTTGAAAATTCATTCAACAGCAACTGTTTCCGTACAGTTTTCGTTGAAATTTTTAATTGCCGCGCCAATATCTGTGTTGGATTGTATTCCGGATATCGGAAAATGCAACTGTATGCAGGCTGCCTGCAAGTAGTAACGTACGCACTCAGCAACGGTATGTCGAGTTAGTACAAACAGACAAAGAAACCTCAGAGAGGGGCTCATCTGCTCCTTGGAAATTATATTGCATGTTCTGAGTTTATTTCGAGCTCACAAGTTNTCAGAGAGGGGCTCATCTGCTCCTTGGAAATTATATTGCATGTTCTGAGTTTATTTCGAGCTCACAAGTTTCCTAACAAAGTGACGACGAGTCGAGTTGTATGGTGTGGGGCTTAGACTCAATCTGACGCTTCCGCTAAACTGTTGTATCCGCGGCAGCAAAAGTGGTACAGGTATTCTTTATTTAATTGAATAAGTAGTAACAAAAGCAGTTAAACAAAGAGATGGCAACAGAAGAAGCACAAGCCGACGAGGGATGAGGGGAGCTACAGAAGGGCTGCATGCACCGGTGCCGCGCTGGGTGAGTGGGGCTGCGGGGGGTGATGAGGATGGAGTAGAGAAAAGGGTTTAGAATTCTTCCTTTCCGCCAATGGACGCCTGAAGGGTATTTCTTTTGTTTGTTTGTCTGCCACTGCTGGGCTGTCTGCGTCTTCTCTTTCTTGTGAACCTGCAGCCAAAATGACGGTGGGCATCAAGCCGAGTTTGATTCCTAAGAAGAATCGCCGCATGATCTATGAATACCTCTTCAAGGGTGAGAATAAAAAAAACAATTTCGAAGTTTTAATGAAGAATTTGCACTTTTCAAGTCACGAATATCGCCTAAGCAGCCACAACACAGCCTTTTGTCCGTGGGGTTAGTACAGCCCCATGCTGGTTTCAGAGGCGTCAGCTGGATGCAAGTTGAATATGAAGTTTTATTTCGTTATTTGGGTGTAAATATAGAAAAGAAAAAAACGGTTCACCTTGAACTGTAGCTCCTCCTGCATATATTCCCGCGTTGCGTCAGCTGTCTGTGTGGCTCTGTATGCGTTGCTGTGGGCATTCCTCCTACCTCACTCAACAGCAGTGAATAAAAAGTTCTGCATTTGTATGTTGATGCTCTATAAACTCCTCTGAGCTGATCCTTTTGATC